ATTCTTTTACGACGGCATCTCAGAACGTTGCTGTCTCTGATACCAACTGTTGCAGCAGCTAGAAGCATAAAAGACAAGAAACAAGAGTTCTCAAGCTCTAAGTTTCTTATCGATATCTCTTGTAGTAAATCTGGAAGCAAAGCTCGGTTGACACAAGAGGTTGAGAAGAACTTCTCTTTCTTTATAAATAAAAAACCAAAGAACAATAGAGCTCAAGCTAGAGTACTTATACATCGTGAAATAAAACCCTAAATCTACGACGGTTAATTAATCGACGAAAAGGAAATACGTAAGTAATTAAAAGCCCAACGACAAACTTAAAACTTAAAACTTTAGCCCATAATGCTATATCAGATTAACATCCAAATTATTGTCACATAACTATAATAAATTTAAAGTTTTTTTTTCATGTGTGTACAATTATTTCAAATAAAATAAAAAATAAAAAATAGAGTTACATTTCACTTGAGCATTACAATATAAAAGAACCAAACAAATATCTAGAGTTACATTTCACTTGAGCATTACATTTCACTTGAGCATTACAATATAAAAGAACCAAACAATCTTAGAAACATGTCAACTGATTGATACTCGACACTTTTGAAAAACGAAGCACTAAAAATAGAGAAAAATGTTACATTATTAAGACGAATGAGTTGAGGTATCCGAGGTTGTGGACTTATAACAACCCAACTTGATCACAAAAGTAACAATTAGCTGATCAAGCAGCATTCAAATAGATTCAGTAAGCCTCAAAAAAGGAAGAGAGACTAAAATCACTGGCCTCGTGTGAGATCTTTCAGCTTTAATTCTAAATCAATTACTAATAATTCTAAATCAATTACTAATAAAGTTAAAACCTACGTTGCACGGAATCGCTCGGAAAGCTACGATTCTCGCTTCGGAATCGGAATCGGAATCGCACGGAATCGATCGGAATCATTGTGGAATCGCGATTCTGAAATTTTATCGTTTGAAAACGCTGAAGAATCGTTCAATTCCGAGTTGGAATCGTGTTTTTCGTGGTTGGAAGCGTTGCTGCAAACTTCGACTAAAATTATAGAAGAAAAAGATGATCTGTCATTACAATTTTGTTAGGCTTAATATATTTAAAGCCCATTAAGCCATCATTATCATTTTTTAATTTATTTTTAATATTATTTAATTAAACTAATTATTTGTTTAATATATTTCAAGCCCATTAAACCTATTAAGCCATACGCTTCCAACACATATCCGCTTCCTAAATTTTTTGAAAAATTCGCTTCCAAACGCTTCCGCTTCCGCGATTCTGCTTCCGATTCCATGCAGCTTAGGTTAAAACTATATGCCTCTAAGAATGTTCACATATGATTTAAAAGTCCAATTCTATTGGTCACATCAATACTTCAAATTAAGAAAAAATTTCAAAATTTTAAAATTATATAGTTAACAAAAAAAATTTTAAAGAAAATAAAAGTTGAAGCTATATGCCTTTAGGGATTCACATAAGATTTAAAAGGTCAATTTTATTAGTGCACCTCAATAACTAAAATTAAAAAAAAAATTATAAAATTATATTGTTAATACAAAACAATATAAAAAAATTGTTAATTAAAATTATTCTATTATTAATAACAGTTACAGCTATATTATTTTCAAGGTATCCACATCAACATTTAAAAATTCAATTTTATTCGTATATATATCAAAATTGTAAATTAAAAAAAGTTTTCTAATTATAATATTATGGTTAAAAAAAAAATAACAAAATAAAGAAATCTCTATTAACAACAAAAAAAAATCAACATGATATTAAATCTCCATTATCACTGTTTAAGTTATAAATTTAATTTATTATCTATAAACAAAAAAAAATATATGCTACTTATACAAGTTTAAGTTTTTTGATTTTAAAGCTTTTCACGTGAAATTTTAAATAAGTAATAAATATGATTTTTATTCATCTAGATTTTTTTTCACATATGCAAAATATATTTTTACATACTCTCATGTAATAAATTATGCAAAAATGATATAAAAACTTAGATTTTGTATATTCAATTTGGAATTACAATAGATTAATATAGAAGTTTTTAGTTTTGAGTTGTTCAATTTGTTATTTTATTTTTTAAAATTTGTATGTATTAAATTATACCGGTTTTACCTATATAGTTATAATTATAGGATGTAAAAATAAATATGATGAAACTGAATATAATCCTAAAAAATTATTAAAATAAATAAATACGATATATTCATTAAAAACAGATATAACGAGAATAAAAATAAACATGTTAAAAAAATTCATTCTTATTAGAAAGGATAACGTATAATTATTGAAAAACTATTTAAAAATTTACAAAATTAATTGACAAAAATACTCTCTCTCGTTTCTAAGCACTTCCGATCACTCGTTGCGTCCCGTGAGCTATACACAAGACGATCGTTGTTGGGCTGCACCGAACACTGTCTCTATGTTGTCCTCTTTAAGGGAAAAACCAAGGAGTACAAATGGTATATTCTCCGCCGGAAAGCCAACGGCAATCGCTGCTTCGTCCTTATCCCTTGGCTTTCCGCTATGCGTTACCGTGGAAGCTTTGTCCAAGTGGGTCCGAGGATATATATGTTTGGTGGGGATCAGAAGAATATGGGGTTAAGCATCGACTGCAGATCTCACACGGTACAAACCCTCCCAGGCATGCCTGTGCCCATGTCTGATACAATCTTTGGCATCATTGATAGGAGAATCTACATAATTGGATATTGCCATAATGATAGATTGAGGAAGGTGATGGTGGTGTTCAATACAGAAACACAGATGTGGGAGCCTGAGGTGATAAAGTTAGACAATGAGCTACGGAACACGTGGTTGTATGGTTTTGCGGTGATGGCTGATAAGATTTACATGAGGGATTATCGTTACAGCATTGTTTACGAGCCAAAGAAGAATAAATGGGAAACAGACGAGGTGCTGAATTCTAAGGAGTGGAAGTATGCGTGTGTAGGTGATGACTTATTGTACTACCACGATCGGTACGAGAACGAGATAAGAGCTTACGATCCAAAGCAAAAGTGTTGGAGTGTGGTGAAAGGTTTGGAAGAATCTTTGCCTGATACGACATATTCATGGTCTTCATACACTGTGAGTTATGGTGGGAAAATATTTTTGTTTTTCAATAAAATTAAAGAAAAAACATATGAGATTTGGTGTGCCGAGATTTCCCTGGAAAGACATCAAGGAGGAGAGATTTGAGGTAAAGTTGAGTGGTGTGATCAAGTTTTGACTGATGGGAATTTTAGTTCTGCAAATCCTCTAGCTGTAATGATTTGATTTAAGGAACTCTCTTCTCCTTAATATAACTTGTGTTTTGTTTTTTCATTATCCTAAAATCTCTTTTTGCTGATTACGTTTTATGTAAATGAAAATAGATGATTTAATTTGAGGAAAAACTAGTTTGTTTATTTTGAACGAAAAAGTATACCATCAACTCTACAGAATTCTTGATCTGGTTATCTGTTTCAGTTTGTTTGATCATCGACTCTGCCTCTGTTTTTTTTATCAACAAAATACAGTTGGTTGGGGGATATTTAGTTATATGTATTCAACCAAATAATACGTTTTTAAAATATGACATATTGTACATAGATTCAAAACAAAATCATAAAAATTTCACAATTTACATAAAAATTATTAGATTAATATCATAATATTTTTAATATATTATTAAAATATTAATGTATAAAATTTGCATCTTAATAAATATAATTGATTGCATATAATTTTTATCAACAAAATACCTACGCGTAGCGTGGATGCAAGATCTAGTGCTAATAAAAGTTGAAGTTAAATGTTTTCAGAGTGTCCACATTAGATTTTAAAAGACAATTTTATTTGTCCAAATCAATTTTCAAAATAAAAAAATGCAAATGTTAATATTATTGCTGAATCAGAAAATTAAAAAAGTTTACAAAATCTAATGTTATTGCTGAATAAAAAAATTATGTATAAATTTTTATTTGGTTCTACCTTAACACTGAAAATTAGAGTTTTCAAAAACTATTATTTTTAAAAATTTATAAAAATAAAGAATTTATATAAAAATAAAAAATAATATTATAATAGGAAAAATGAAATTGAAATTAGATTTTTAAACTAAATAAATAATTACAAATAAATTATTAAAATTTATTTACATATGTATACACACATATTTAGAGACTCCAACATTAGCATCCAATTTTTATCACATAATTATCGTGTATGGGATTTTTGGTTTTCGAGAAAGGCCAAAACAAAAAAATCGTCAGGGCCTAGAAAATACGATGGAGGTGTGTTCTCTGACGCTCAAGTCAAAAAACTGCTCAAAAAAGACCACTAAAAGCTGATCGGAGAGCAGAAAGAAGTCAGAAAACTTTGTGAAGAAAAATAGTCCGAGAGTTCTTGAGAAAGACAGGATCTGCTCGGGTCTTGGAGTGAGAATGTGATTTTTACGATGAAAAGAGAGAAAAATAAGAGTTTGTGAGTAAAGGAGCTCCACGGTTTTGTGAATCGCCGTAGAGGTGAATCGAAATGAAGTTACTGGAAAGGTGGTCAGAACTGTGTAGAATGCTTGAACTTAAGAACCACAAGTATTTAGAGAGATATTGTCTTAAGATGGCCAAGAGAGTGAACCCCTTTCCCGTAGGAAAGGGAAAATTATTTGTAGTAAGTTACCTGATCTGGGTTAGTATACCGGGTTGGCCCATGAATGGTAGATCAGATGAGCCGGCCCACAATCCAACTTGACTATATTCGAATTTTGTGAAGGCGTCACGCTTCTGATGGTCTCACCAACTTTCCTTGGCGTGTTTTTCTGTAACGAGATCGTTCCTTGGCGCATCCCTTTTGTTCTCAATGTATGAATTGTATCGGCAGCTCAAACGCGGTATGGCTCTTCACTGAGCCTCTGCGTTTCCCCCTGGCTCCTGCGAAAGGTCACTGTCACCTGACATACGTAAGAAAAATGCATTAAATATCATTCTTGTGGGTTTGTAAGGGTATGGGTAATTCAATCAGACTAAGGCATAATTATTGTCGAATGGAGGGATATATGAATAGTGTTCCCGTTTAAATGATTTACTAATACCTGGCATGGATCCCTAGATTCTGGGACCGGGAAGCCGTTGATGGAAAGCCTTGTTCTCCAGGTACCCGTGTGGGCCACTCTTCCTTATATCCTGAGCCTTTTAGATCACTAAGCTTAGGTTTAGGACATAGGGAATGTGACCTCTACTCCTCCTAACCACTCAGTTTCTGACTTCCTTGTATCTGACAACGTGGTCTACGCTATCAGACACGAGGAATCCGAGAACATGTGACTTATCGTGTCAGATCTCCCGAATCCAACCGGATTCGAGGCACGCTGGTATAAGCTTAGGCCGTATTAGGCTTTTTTCCTCCTTCACATCGGGCTTCCACGGCCATATCCCCACGCTCTTAGGGTACTTTTGTATCGTAGCCTCGATTACTCCAAATCAAATGGATGCCCCCATCTGAGGCCTCTTGTATTCCCTGCAGGTTTTATTCGACCTGTTAGGGTTCCGGATCACAGTGGTGATGATCACATGCTACTTCCGGTTAGTGCAGATTCCCGGTTACCCACTGATGTACGAACTATCTACGAGGCTTTTGATGCGGTCCCCGGTAGGCTCCCTTGCCTGGCTTTGGAGGACGGACTCCTACGAAGACTCCTTCATACTCGCTTTCTCAAATAATCTTCCCAGATTCCCCGTCCAGTGGAACTTCCCAGGTAGCTTCCTCTTACTCTTCAATATTTTCTTATTTTTTATTTTTGTTTTTTTATCTTGATGTGGAGTTAATTTTGCCATTTTCCGTTGCTAGTTGTCATGGGTGCGGGCCATAGCTTTTTTCCTGCTTCCCTCCTACAACTACCTCGTTACCTGCAGGATCCGGTCTTGCTACTCCATCCTTTGGTGGTGGGGACGTCGTCCCTGGTGGTCCCTTTTGGTCAACCACGAGAATGGGTCGGCCCACGATCCGATTTCACTGGATTCAAATCTTGTGATGACATCACGCTTTTGATGGTCTTACTAACTTTTTGGCATGTTATGTCTGTAACGAGACCGTCTCTTGACACGTCCTTTTTGTTCTCAGTGTACGAGCTGGGTCGGCGGTGAAGACGCTGTATGACTCTTCGCTGAGCCTCTGCTTTTCTCCTTGGCTCCTGTAAATGGTCATTGTCACCTGACACACATTAAATGTCATTCTCATGAGTTTGTAAGGGTATGGGTAATCAAATCAGACTAAGACATATTCTTATTGTCGAATGGAGAGAAATTTGAATAGTGTTCCCGCTTAAATGATTTACTCATACCTGGCCCGCATCCCTCGATACCGGGACCAGGCAGCCGTTGATGGAAAGCCTAGCTTGTTTTTTGGGTACCTGTGCTGGCTACTCTTCCTTATATCCTGACCTTTCCGGCACCGAGCTTAGGTCTAGGATATAAGAATGTGACATCTCCTCCTCCTGACCACTCAATTTTCAACTTCTTTATATGTGACAGCGGAGCCTACGCTAGAAAAGAAAATACGATTTGCAAAGCTAATTTTGGCTAACATATGAGCCGATGAATTACAAGATCGAAGTACATGTAAGAAAACACATTCTTCAAACTTAGTAGCCCACGAAAGGATGTCTGCATTAATGTTTTCGATGCTTGTATCAGAAGTTATTCGCCTTAGAATGTCAATCAAGACTTTGCAATCACTTTTAAATCCAACTCTTTTGAAACCCATACTCCAGCAATTCTGCATCGTTAATAGTAGAGCCTTTGCTTCCGCTTCATGGGGAGAAGATGCTCCATCCAAATTTGCAGATCTCCAATACTTTGGAATACTATAGTTATCCTTGACTACCTACCTAGAATTACACTTATACTTTTATATTTTTTTTCTTTGAAAAATATTGTATTCATCTTCTATATTATTAATATAAATCCAATTTTTTTAATGCATTTCTATATTCAATCGATTCAAAGACAAATCTGGCTCATTGTTATGAATCTCTTTTTTCTAAAACTATATACAAATTTCTGAGTGTAAAATTTATTAACCACACTTATTGCCTTAGAAATTAAAGTTTTACAAAACCCAAAAAAACCCAATTTATCGAAAGTCCAAAATATTACAAACCAGAAAACTCATATAATTGAACGAGAAAATTGAAATCAAACCAGAAAGTTGGTTGGAAAGAATTGATTGCAAAAGAACCAATACTACCAGATTAGTCGAGAGCCACAATAATTGTTGATCTGACAGAACAAATTATTGGTAACCTGCGGAATTGTGGAATTGCGTTTTTAAATGCGATTCTGCAAATATTTTGCCTATCAAGAAAATTCTGCTGAATAAAAAATAAAACACTAAAAAGCAGTTTGCGTTTTTTGCTTAACAAAAATACAAAAACAGAAGAATGAGCTTTGGCTTTGATTGGTAACTTTGCGGAATGACGGAATTGTGGAAAAAATTTTGCGGAATAGATTAAGCGACTTATAAGTTGCTTTTCTGCGGAATGACTTTTCCTTTGTATTTTTGTTAAAGCAAAAACGCAGTCTGCGTTTTTGTGTGTATTTTTTTATTACGCGGACTTTTGTTGATTGGCAAAAAATCTGCGGAATTATGTTAAAAACGCAATTCCGCCATTTTGCAGGTTACCAATCAAAGCCTTTAAGTAACTTATTTCATTCCGCAGGTTTTTCCTCATTCCACAATTATGGATTCCGCAAAACTGTTACCAATCAAAGCCATAGTCGCGATGATGAAGAGAGCCGCTTAAGGTTAGTGGTGATAGTGGTAAATCACCCATCTAGAAAACCAGAAGATCTGAGGCAAGCAACGAATTGGTTTCTCTGAGACCCAAAATCTCTCTCTCTCTCCTTCTTCCGCAAATCTTTGGATAAAGAGGTACAATGTCTCTCCGTTTCTCTTATTTCATTTGAACTTCTTCGATCCTTCCATGGTTACAATTTTGCTGATTTAGGAATGGATCTATGCCTTAGATACGTTTTCAGTAATTCATAGTCTTAAACGAATCACGTCAATAGATATCTGCTCGAATTCATATTATATATCATGGAGAAAGTTAAATCAAACCATGGAAAAAATTGATTGTAAACCAACTAATACTACCAGATTATCGAGAGCCAATGATTGTTGATCCGAGCAGAACAAAGTCACGATGATGAAGAGAGCCGCTTAAGGTTAGTGGTAAATCACCCATCTCGAAAACCAGAAGATCTGAGGCAAGCAACGAATTGGTTTCTCTGATAAAGAGGTACAATGTCTCTCCGTTTCTCTTATTCATTTGATCTTCTTGGACACCATATCGATCCTTCCTCGGTCAGAATTTTGCTGATTTAGGAATGGATCTATGCCTTAGATACGTTTTCAGTAATTCATAGTCTTAAACGAATCACGTCAATAGATATCCGCTCGAATTCATATTATATATATTTCTTCCCACGACTTTCTGGCAATATGTGACAGTGAACTTCAAGTGTATCTTTGGGTTTGAATGAAGGCGGCTTGTGTTCTTTTGGCATTTTGCTTTTTTTTTGTCTTTGGAGGAGGAGCTTCTAAATTGGCTTCCCCTAAGAATCCAGAGGAGGTAGTCCGATTCCCATTGAACAGGAAACCTAGGATTTTACTCCAGTTGGCCCCTCATGTTTCTCACAAGATTAAGCTAACTGTGACCGGAGGCACGTATATGAATCATCCTTTTTTGTTCCTTTGTTTGATAAAAATTACCACGATTAGGATATGAGATGTTAATCAACTGATGTTCCATATAGGTTGTGCAAACGCATCCGGTGACTACAAGTGGCTTAGCTCAGACGTGACGGTTGTGGCTATGTCATCCTATGGGGTTATCCAGGCAAAGAGCCCTGGAATATCCACTGTCAAGGCTGTGTCGACTTGTGATCCTCTGAATTTTGATGAGGTGATTGATCATCATCCTTTTGCATCATTATGAATTGTCAATTACCGTTTATATATTTTTTGTTTGATAATAAATTACCATTACCATTTATATTTCTTGTTACATTATGTGTAGATTGTTGTAAAAGTTTTCGCAAGTCAGGATCTCTGCTATGACATGGATGGTATGGAACCCATGGTGGACAATGACCAACCGGAGGCAAGCTATTTCTCCATGCCAAAATTTCAAACGGAGCAATGCTTTAACTTGATCATGCTATTAGAATCTCTCGCTACTTTTACCATTATTATATTATACAATCGTTGTTTGAAAAAGCGTAAAAATCAGCACTCTAAAAAGCGGTACAGGCGACCGCTTAGGCGACGTTTAGGCGCTAGGTGGCCATAGATTTGATTATTAATTTGTAGACATTCGAATGAGGCGTGTTATACTGTCCTATGAAGTCGCTAATTGACTATTATCTAATTTTCATTTTTGCTTGTTTAATTATAATTTAAAAATATTTAACTCAATAATTTAGAAGTTTTTATTAAATTATTACATTAGATTATCTGCGCGTCCATACACGATAATATTTTATCAACTTAATATATTAAAATAAATTTTATAATAGAACTTAAAAAAACTATAAACCCTGTTTATTTTGATCGAACATAAATTTTTCAAATTTTTTTTATCCATGTTAGATGCGAGCGACAACTTTTATTTATTGCCCTCTTATATACTAGGTTTTTCACCCACACTTATAAAATTATTTTGCTAAAGAATTAAATGCAACCAATTATATTTAATTTGTGAGATTTTATTAAAACAGAGAAAAGAAAGCGGGCTGAGACTCTTGAAATATTGGGTAAAATTTACTCGGACATGTTTTTGGTGAGTTTGTTAGGTAGAAAAGAGAAAAAATGTAAAAGTTTAGGGTATAAATGTTTCATGGTTTAGAAACTGCCATGGAATGGTGAATCATAATCGTATGTTGACCACTTTTATGGATTATTTTTGAATGTTTTTTAAATACTTTTTATTTTTTGTAAGTATTTTTATTATAGTTTTCTAGTATTTATAGTATAAGTCTCTTTTCAGGAAATTTAAACAAAAGCTTTGCAAATTGGATAAAAGACCATATTTTTTGCTCAGAGTCAAACTGTCGGATTTTTACCCTCAAATGAAAACCTTCTGACCGTCTGATACAGCTCTAATTTGGATATCTTATAGATGGATTAGCTAGCTTTCCAGCATAGCTAACATGAGAACAATCCAACAGTTCAATCAAAAGTTATGTGAATATCAGAAAGTCCCATCAAGCAGTCGGCAAGCCTTCTAGACTCCCACCAACACATGTTCCCCCATGGTCGCAGACCTCTTGACCGCAGAGAATGGGTGTCCAACCCCAAAAGCCCAATTTCAAGTTCAATTGATTTTTGTCTTGCGAGAAGTCTTAAGTGACGACAAACGTCTTGAAGACTTATAAATACTTGTGTTAAGAATCTTTAGGTTAGGTTTTAGTTTAGTTGTGTTGAGATTTTGAACGATTTTAATGTATAATCACCATATGATTAAAAGGCTAAACCATTAGTTGAGCTTGGTTCTAAAGAAAAAAACAACAAACAACCAACAATCTTTTAAACATGTATAATTTAATAAAATACTTAGAAAACTAATCGGACAGTTATAATAAATTCGATACAGTAAACAATAATTAGAATACTATCATATTTCAAAAATTATTTAGTTATATATTTCAATATTTATATCATTAGTCTTTTGTAACTAAGTATACATCTCGTTTAAAAACACATTAGAGCTAACAATTAAAAGTTAATTCTAATCATGCGTATAGGGCGGGTCAAAATCTAATATTACCATTAAAGTAGGAGTATGAAGATACAAAAAACGATTAAACTGAACCCTATCAAAAGCCTTAGTGAATATAGCAGCAACAAATTTTGGGATCATCATGAAATAAAGAACCAAACGGCTTATTTGCAGACTGTAATTATAGACCTAGGGGGAGATCATGTACATTCCTTTTGATTCGTAAGAAAAAATAGCTACAAATTTAATTAGTGAGCCAACCTCTTGTTCTCTCGCAAATTTTCATTCACTATATACAAGAACATTTCTGTTTTAAATTTTGGATAAATCTTCAAGAAATCCTAAATATTTGTCACAACGCTCTCCGTAATTTGAGATATGCTTCCTGAACTTGCCTGTTTTTTTTTTTTTTCATTAGTAAAATAGAATAATTAATTACAAAATATAATTCTCCTATAGATAAAAGGAAAAGGAACTCGATTAGAAAAAGAAAAGGAAAAAGGTAGTCTATATATAACAGAAGAAAAACAAAAACAAAAGGTCGCGTTCTCGTTATCATCTCTCGAGCTCGAATTTTTTCTCGTCGTCACCAACCCAAACTACTTCTCTAATCTTCTCTTAGACCGGTCGGGCCTTGGCATCATCCTGAATAACTTCTGCATGCATGTTCTAGATTCGGAGGAATTTTATCGGAAGTAGGGATGCGCTCTCTGTCTCGGTGATCGGATATTTGAGCCTACTATTAGGGTTTTGCACTTTCCTCGCCAAATTCTACACATGTTTTATAAAATTAGTACAAAGAAGACGCCATTGTCGTCCCTGATTATGTCACTTCCGGAAGATGTTATCATTGATATCTTAGCGCGTGTACCGAGATGTGACTATCCAAAACTCTCCCTCGTTTCAAAGCACTTCCGATCACTCGTTGTATCCCCTGAACTATATGCGAGACGATCCTTGTTAGGCTGCACCGAACACTGTCTCTATGCTGTAATCTTTAACAACGAAACCAAGGATTTCCATTTGTATATCCTCCGCCCGAAAAACAACGGCAATCGTTGCTTGGTCCTTATCCCTTCGCTTCCCACTATGTGTTATGGTGTAAGTTTTGTCGCTGTGGGTCCGAGGATATATATGTTTGGTGGGGACCAGAAGAATATGGCGTCAAGCATCGACTGCAGATCTCACATGGTGCAAACCCTCCCAAGCATGCCTGTGCCCATGTCTTTTACGATCGCTGGCAGCATCGACGGGAGAATCTACGTAATTGGATATCGCGATTACAATAGATGGAATAATGTGATGGTGGTATTTAATACAAAAACACAAATGTGGGAGCCTGAGATTATAAAGATAGACATTGAGCTACGTTCCATGTGGAGCAAGTGGTCGTATGGTTGTGTGGTGATGGCTGATAAGCTATACATGAGGGATGATAAGAACAGCTTTATTTACGACCCAAAGAAGAGTAAATGGGAAAGGGACGAGAGGTTGAATTCTAAGAAGTGGAAGTGTGCATGTGTAGTTGATGACGTATTGTACTACCACGATACGTACAAGAACGAGGTAAGAGCTTATGATCCAAAGCAAAAACGTTGGAGTGTGGTGAAAGGTTTGGAAGAGTTGTTGTCTGAGACGACAAATTCGTGGTACTCGGATATTATGTGTTGCGGTGGGAAACTGGCTTTGTTTTTTCCTAAAATAATTATCAAAACTAAACAAAATGAGGTTTGGTGTGCGGAGATTTCGCTTAAAAAACACCGAGGAGAGATTTGGGGTAGAGTTGAGTGGTATGATAATGTTTTGACTGGGAATTGTTGCGTAACGAAACCTTTAACTGTTATGGTCTGATGCATGAACTCTCCTTCATATAACTTGTGCTTTTTCTTTATATAAGGTTGTCTTTTTTTTATATTCGTTTTTTACATCATTGATACAATTGATACAGAGAGAGAATAAGAGGATCATTGTTTTGTGGTTATTCTGAGGAAACACTTATGTATGGGAAAATGGAAAACTCGGGATATGATCAAACATGTTCAGATGGTGAAGCGTGGTATTAAACCATGCCAGGAATTGAACATATTTTTAAAAAACCACTTTAAAGAAATAGAAGGAGAGATGATCAAATAGAATTGGGTCTCTATCCCCAAGTGAAAATCATTTCATCAGCCAGAAGCATCCGAAGAAAAACGGTCTTCAAAAGGCAGATGCAGATAAAAGAGACACAAAAACAAACACACATTTGCTCTCACAAAGAGTTTCAGCTTCTTCTTCTTCTCTGTTTTTTTTTTCTTTTATTATTGTTTGATAAATTCTCACCTGAAATAGATTGAGACGAGAGGAATATCAACGTCATTGTCATCTTCATCCTCACAAGCCACCACCACATCAAGATGGCGACGATAAGGCGGCAACTCGACTTTGGCGATATCCCGAGCGAGATCAACCACTTTCTTGTCCATCCTCTCCTTGTGCCTCGGGAACATACTGTTGAACAGAAGACAGCTTCCACATGAGATGCTGTACGCGCTAAGCCCTTTGTCCTCCAGCCACTGCAACACCTCACGCAGAGTCGGGTTTCCTCTAAGAACCCATCTGTCCCAAACAGTCCAAGCCATGTCTCTGTGCTTCACCACCTTTGGAGGAACTGGCTCAGCCATGGAGAAGAGTGGAAGCGCCAGGTTGGCGAACGTGTTTCTGTAGTCTTCCACTTTGTGTCCTCCATCAAGAACCTTGTAGAGCTCGAGACAGACCAGACCAGTAGCCATGGCTGTTGAGGTCGCAATGGCTGGAATGATTCTCCCTGCAATGAACTTTGCTTTCAGCTTGTCGACTTCAGGTATGCTGTAGTTCCTCGCCCTCATGTTGGCAAGACCCGCTATCACGTCCATGTGATAGTTTGTATCATCATCCTAAATAAACAAAACATGATACAAAACACAAAATTTCAAAACAATTTGCCCAGAACGTACTTTTCGACATGTTACTTTCAATTGCGATTATATTTCACGAGTCGAGTCAGTGAGAGAATATAATTTACCTTTTCGAACTGAATTGGTTTCATCCTGAAATCTGGAGACAAGTTATGCCTACACTGCTCGAGCTTAGCAATGAGGTCGTTGATGACTGCAGCGTCGTCCACAGAGGCAGTGGTTAAAGTGGTGGCTTTCTCATCGGTCACAATCTTTGCATCTTTCCTTGGCTCAAAGTCTGGGACTATCACTCTGTCAACGGCTTCAGCTGCTTCCTTTGGGTTTTTGGTCCACTCAGGCACAGGGATACCAAACGTCTCTGCTCGTAAAATAGCAGTCGACGTGATGAAGTTAAGCAGGCTTGGGTCGGAAGAGGAGTACTGGAGCGGACGTGGAAATCTTTTAGGAGCAGACCAGAATGGAGCTCCAGTACTAGTCGCAGCATCTTCAGGAAATGTGTATATCAATTGCTTGACACGGTTAACAAAGTAATCCTCAAACCTGGTAGGATATCAAAAGAAACACATGTTATCAGGATGCCGATACCTGTTGAGAAATGATAATGCCTCCTAACAGTGTTCCTAAATATCGACTTTTAGTTTCAAAAAGATTTGTATCAACACATGAGTAAGATACCATACTCTCTTTCGTTCCATCATTACGACAAGAATACCATAAACCTAACTACTTAGAGAGTGTCAGTACCTCAGTCGAGCCCAGGTTAAGCAGTCTTGGAAGGTCTCACACTTCTCCTTTTCAAGGCACTCAACAATCCTCTCCAATGTGTCCCTCGCCTGAGCATCGCCAGCAGTCATCATTGAGTTAGTGTACTCAACCGGGCTAGAGAGATATGCATTCACTTCAGCGGGAGTCTTCTCAAGCAGACCCTCAAACTCAGAGCGAGCCCAAGTTAGACAGTGATCAATGTTATGTGGAAACGAATGGACTGTACACATGGGGGCCTGTTTCTCTGGTGGGTCCCTTGAAGCACCGTAATTTTCAGTTAAATGTGGAATAACCATCTGTGTGTTGCACTTTGCACCAAGAGTCCCGGACTCAAGGAGAGGCTTCTGGAAATACAAGCACCTAGAATCAACATAGAGCCTCGCATTGACATTATCAAGTGCATTGACGACAACAGTTAAGTTCTCCCAGAAGGCGTCGTCAAATACATTCTCAGTTTCAGCACCAACACGGTTTTGCAGGGCCTCAATGTTGAACTTGGGGTTTATAGCTGCAGCAGCGGAAGCAGCAACTGTGGATTTAGCCTGCCCAATGTTCCAGTCACGGAATAGAAATTGGCGACTGAGGTTACTCTTCTCAATTATATCATCATCTGTCACTGTTAGTTTCCCCTGGCTTCCACATGAAACTCCCATCAGAGCCATATTTTTCAAGAACTCGCAGCCAAGAGCACCAGACCCTACTGTGAAAACTTTAGCATCTTCGAGTTTCTGCTGGAACTTTGCCCCAAATACAGATATTTGGGCATCATACCGGCTGTTCCTTGGTGCAACGTCACTCGAATCCAGAGGTTCAGAAGGGAGTGACTCCACTGAATCAAAGTAGAAAAACTGATAAAGAAAATGAGAAGCTCTGCATTAGGTCCCATTATGAAACTAGAAATAATATACATGTTGTCCAAAAAGAGTTAGCAACTTTATCTTCCCGCAAAATAAACAATAGAAAATGGGAATGATACATGTTCATTGATGTTCATTTTTTCATTAGGACTCCTGTTTGTTACTTTAAGAAACTATTGAAGATTTCTATTTCTTTATTAACTCTTCTAAGCTGCTTTTTTTGTCGGGTTAGGCCAAGGGAGGGATCTTAGTTCTCTTGAGTTTTGTTCAATTTCTGAACTTGTTAAGGTTTTAATGAAGAAAGCATTAAGTTTTATGTTTTTGTGTTTGCAATTCTTAAATTGGCATGTAAAGACTAAATATGTATTCCCCAAGAATGTGGAAAAGAAATATTACCTGAAAGAGGGGATGGAATTTTCCAGAGCAAGCTTTAACAACCTCCTGTCCAACAATACCGCCAAACATTGCAGCCATGGGATTCAGGACAGCCTTGGCTCCAAAGGAAAAGTGTCGTAGAAGCTTATGGTCGACATTCTCCACCTTTAAATCACCCTGTCCGGTATTGATTGCTGTGGCAATGGATATAAGCTGCTGAGCGTCTGCCTCTGAGCCAGCAACAGGAAATCGGCCAGCTTCAGATGTAAACCGATCCAGTGCCTGGAATGCTAAGTGAAGGAGTGGAGGCCGATCAAACTTCGAGAAATCACTAAATAGAAAATCCCCTGGATCTTTAAGCGCTTCCCTCAACGGCTTGAATTTCAGTAACTTTGGCTGTTTCACCTGAGTGACAATACCACCCTTCACATATGTTCCATAGCCTGACGTGTCCTCTTCAAGGGTGAATGAATATGGCCGTGCACTTTTTATCTTCCTTGGTTTCCCATCATTCAATTCCGTCATACCCTCAACTTCAGAGAAAACGACTAGGTCACCGTCTTCAAATTCAAGTCTCTCATCGTCAACACAGGAAATAAATGCTTGATTCTCATTTGAGATGGATGCAATGATGCCTGTGTGTGGTTCCTCTCCATCAACATCGAGAACTGCAAATTCCGGACCAAAATCACAAAACACGGAGCCAAAAAGACCCCTGACATCAGCCCTGACAAAAGCGATAGGAGGCTGATGGCTGTGGCAATAGTCATTAAATTCGATAGCTCTATCCAAGCTAATGTCAGAGAAAACAACAACCTGTTTCACGAGTAAGTAGATGTATCAGCGTCAATCCAGCCAACAAGAACGACACATATGAAAGGTGTACACCAATCTTCTATATCAATACTAATAAATAATAGAACCAGACTAACACCGAAGACAACGCAACTCTTTCTTTGAGATACGCAACGATTTCCCATTCCTATTGACTATGGTAACAATCCAGTGGCAAAGTTTTCATAACTCAAAAGTTTATCCAGTATACAATATATTGAGACCAGATAAAACCAACGACAAGAAAAAATGAGTTGTCTACCGACCTGGAAACCAGAAAGAAGCTCTTTGGTTAAGCTTGTGGTCAAGCTAGAGACAACCACAGCATTGTTAAGATCCTGTAACTTCTGAACAGAAGCATCCGCCCTGTTCTTGCCAATATCATCCTCAGAGAAAACAAAGTTGCTTGATAAGTCCCATAGCTCAACCACACTTTCATCATGCAGAGTCACAGACTTCACACCAGCAAGAATAAGATTCTTGGCTGAAACAACCGAAAAAAAAAAAGAATGAAAAAGGATATTTAACATGCATAGTTGAATACTGGAATCCTCAGTATACTCCACGAAGGAAGATAACGTAACTAGAGAAACAAATCAAGGAACATCGGAAGCTACTACGACTTCGATGTCGAAGAATACTAAAAATCAGGAGAACAAAAACTTAACAACGAGAGAGTAAAATCAACTAGTCTCGACTGATGAATACACAGTTCTTCACAGTTTCTAATTAGGACGAAAACAATATTATATTCAAAGCAGAAGGACGAAGGACACAACCATAGCATGAAAGAATCAAAGAAATACATACCAATCTCGGCTCCAAGGCCGTGCATCCCCGAGATGAGAACGTTCGAAGCAAAAAGACGCCTCATCGTCTCACGCCCGTACACGGCGAGCTGCCTGCTGTGCAGATCTTCATCGATCTCCTGACGGTTGGAATTACCAAAAGCCATGTCGCGATGCTGGTCGACGCTATCGCCGTTAAATCCGCTGCTACTGCTGCTACCAGAAGCTACGACCGAAGACTTATCAGAAGCAGTAGAATCAGTGATATCGATACGGCGTTTCTTAATCGGAGAAGA